GAAGGAGAAAGATCCGATCCATGCCTACCCACCACCGTAGATCTCTTTTTAACAATTGGCTGCGCCCTTAAAACAATTGGTCTTACTCATAAGAACCTCGACAGTTCGAACCCCCGTACCCTTGTCGCTGCCAGAGATCTCTTTCATGCACCTGCTGCTCCCTCAAAACAACTGGCCTTACTAATCAGAACCCCAACAATTTCAACCCTTAAGAATCCCTCGCCACCGCCGCAACATCCACTCCTACTGGGTACCCCCACCGCAATAACCGAAAAGACCAGAAGACCTCGCCGAGAAGAGAGCATGAACGAGACTCACCGGAAAATGACACAAAGCTTCACCCCGATCTAGTCCTCGATAGATCTAAGATCCACAAAACACCACCGCCGAGGAGACACCCGCCAAGCCACCGCAGCATCTCCGAGAAGCCCAAATTCACAATACTAAAATCATAGTTGAAGCACCTGCCAAAGAAAATAAAGAAGCCTTCTCCGGCAAAGACGTTGGAGGCAAGGTAAACTGAGATCTAGAGAGAAAGGAGAGAGAGGCCGCTCAAAGGCTGTCGTTCAAAAAGAAAGTCAATACTATAGTCTTTTTATAGCACTAGGAAATGAGAACAAAAAATACGTGCGAAAAAAAGAGTTCGTTGGGTTTTTTGGCATCGAAGTAAAAGTTTTTGCATAGTTTGTTTGCACACTTAAAAAACGACGGGATGTAAAGTTACTTTTCCACACTCAAAAGAGTTTTATTTCATCCAATTATGTTGTGCTGCAATTGAGAATCAAGCTGTTTAATAGTTGACGATTGAAATTCATTTATTATATAGTGATGGAAATGGAATGGTTTAGTTTGAATTAGAGATATCTGCGATTTGAGCTTTAATTAGCTAACTTCATGACTTGACGACATGTTGACATGGCTTTAGCTACCCGTTTTGGCAAATCTAATTTATGATTATCTGATGGGAGTAAAAAACACATAGGTTTTATAAGATTTAAGATTTTGAAGCACTAAAAAATCTGTTTCCCAAAACATTACGGAGTTTTAATAAGGGAATCTTGCAAAAATGACCCATAAATTCAAGTCAATTGCTAAACTAACATTTTATTTTACCACTTTTGAAATTAATCACTTTTTTCACTTATATTCTTATCAGTTCTATTTATTCACGAAAATGTCATTAGATTATTATTTTTTATTATTATTTTGGAAATCTATTTTACCAAACAATCATCATCTTCCTCACTTATTCACGAAAATACCATCTCCATCAATTCATTCAACCACCATTTTCAACCAATTGAAGCTTTTATTGCTTCAAAGACCCATTTTTTAGCTTTGTAACCTCATTTCCTCTTCTCTTAACCTTCCACTCTTCTATTTTTTCACCATTTTCTGCACAAAAGCTCTCTAATCTAAGTTTTTGAAACTTGATGTTTTAATATATTGCCATATTTGGTGATTTGGTCTGACAAATCGTTTGGACTTGTTTGATGGTGGCTGTAATCAAAAAAATCGGTGGTTGAATAAGTTAAATACCACTGATAGGTGATTTTTCAGTCAATTTTCGTGAGTTTTCAGATCTGTGCCTTGAAAGTAGACTTTTTAAGAAGTCTACTTTCGGTAGTAGACTTCAAAAGAAGTCTGCTGGTCAACACACAAGTTAGTCTTGCAATTGACCGGGTGTACCAATTTCTGACAGTAGACTTCAGTTGAAGTCTGCGCCATTTCTTTTGACAACAAAAAAAAAATAGTGTAAACTTCAAAAGAAGTCTACGTAAAAAGGGGTTAGTTTTGCAATTGACCAATCTTTGACTTTTTCGTAAGAAGTCTACTCGCAAAAGTAGACTTCTTCGGAGAAACCGGACTTTGAAAGTAGACTTCTTAGAGGTTAGTTTTGCAATTGACCAATGTTGACTTTTTCGAGTAGACTTCGCTTGAAGTCTACTTTTCCGAGTAGACTTCGTTTGAAGTCTACTTTCTGAGTAGACTTCAAAAAAAGTATACTCGAAAATTAACTCAATGTTTGGTCAACCCCAAAACTAACCCAAGTAGACTTCAAACGAAGTCTACTTTAAAAAGTCAAAGTTTGGTCAATTGCAACAATACATTTTTTTACGTAGAGTTCTCGAGTAGACTTCTCGGAGTGAGTAGACTTCTTTGAAGAAGTCTACTCATCTTTTGGCAATTGCAAAAGTAACCTAAAATATAGACTTCATACGAAGTCTACATTTCTAGACTTCATTGCAAGTCTACTTTTGTAAACTTTGTTGTTAGTCTATTATTTCACTTTTTTTTTATAAATGCGTTTTTATCAAATTTACAACGAATTTTTAAGTTTTTTTTGGTCTTATGATTGATTTAGTAAGTGTACTTACATTTGTATCAATTTTACATGTTTATATTATATATATATGGTGAAATCAAGTTTTTTGTTTTATTTGGTATTTAACTTATTAGTCCGTAGACTTCGTTTGCAGTCTGCGATATTAATTTTTTATTAAATTAATTGATCAGATATTTGTAACAAATAAAATTTATTCTTTGACTCTTAAGTGTGTGTTATTGTTCTTACTTATGTAGGAGTTTGACATGTTTATTTGTTATAGTTTGGCTTTAATTAATTTTCTTGTTCTAATTGGTATTTAGCTTATTAGTCCGTAGACTACATAGTAGACTTCGTTTGCAGTCTGCGATATTAATTTTTTATAAATTTAATTGATCAGATATTTGTAACAAATAAAATTTATCATTTGACTCTAAAGTGTGTGATATTTATTGTTCTTGCTTATATATGAGTTTGAATTTTTTTTTTGTTATAGTTTAGCTTTAACTAATTTTCTTCTTTTATTTGGCATTTAGCTTAATAGGGACTTCATTTAAAGTCTACATAGTAGACTTCGTTTGCAGTCTACTTTTTCGACAATGATTTCTAATGTGGTTTGAATTTTGTTTTCTTACAGAGAATGGTTCACATACCCACTGTTTATAGATAATGTGTGAAGAAAGATTAGTTGTGGTATTTCTAAGTAGTTTTACATGTTTTTTTTTGTTATGAGTTTCACATGTTTTTGTAAAGTAAAAATTGAATTAATTTTCTTGTGTTATTAGAGGTTCAAAGATGGTGATGACTAAGTCTGACAAAGAAGTTTGCATATGATATCTGAATATGATAAAACACGCATAATTTAAGAATATATAAAAAATAACATTAATTGCAATCCAACTTTACATATAAAGTAGACCTTCTAATCAAACAAACATTTAAGGATCACTATTTATAAATCTTAAAATTAGCATATAAAAACAAAATGTCTGAAATAGGTCTATGTGACTGAAGTCTGCTCGAGAAGTCTACTCGAGAAGTATACTCGAAAAATCTGTAGCTGAAGTCTGCTTCCAACAAAAACAAAAGAGAAATAAATAAGCTCACCTCTGCACAATAAGAAAAAAAAATGTTAAAATTCATATTTCAACAAAATCTGCTATATTTACAAACATCATATCTGCTGCAAAAAAGAAAAAAAAAAAGAAATCAGTTATGCAACAAAAAAATTATAGATCTGCAACAAAATAAACAAAATTCAGATCTGCAACAAAATAAACAAAATCAGATCTGCAACAACTAAAAATTCAGATCTATAAAAAAAAAAAGAAATCAGATCTGTAAAAAAAAAAAAAATTAGATCTGCAAAAAATTCTACAAAATTTATACCATAAGAAGCGCATATTTGCAAGAATAAACTCATATCTACAACAAGAAGCTCGAATATGTAATAATAAACCCAGATTTACAATATGAACACAAAACAAACAACAAAAGAAACAAAACCTCAGATTTGCTTACCATCACCATAATTGAGATAGAGAGGATGGAGGATAGAGATGGGTTTGATGGCAAGAGAGGAAGGAGAAGAGATTCATGGCCAGAGAGGAGGTAGAGGAGAGAGAGGCGTTTTTTAGAGGGAGAGAACAAAATTTATTTTTAACCCAATTAGGTTAATCTCCTTATATATGTAGGAAAAAGAAGTCTACTGGAGAAGTCTACTCGAAAAGTCTACTTTGGTATATTTTTTCGATTTTGATTCCCGCCTAGTTTGTTCTGATTCCCGCCCAATTTGTTAAATAATTTTGATTTTCCGTTATGTTTTTTTTTAAGTCTACTGGAGAAGTCTACCCAAGACGTCTACTGTATACGTATGTTTTCTGTAGTAGACTTCTTTAGTAGACTTCTAAGGGGTTGTATGTTTTCTAGTTAATTTTCTTTCTGAATTTAAGTTGATTCATTTGTATGAAATTTTGTATTCTATACATGTCAAATATATATGTCTTACTTATGTTTACCAATTTTTTAGAAATTTATTTATTTTATATTTTCTAATTAATTTTTAAAAAACTAATTATGTAAAGTCTACTTATGTAGACTTCATTAATAGTCTACAACGATTGTAGACTTCTTACGTAGACTTCTCGAAAGATAAAATCGTAATTGTGGCAGATATTTTTTGTTTGGTAACAAAAGACTGAGCTGTAATTTCACTACTTCTTTGGGTTAGTTTTGCCAAACATTCAATAAGGGGTCTACATATTGAGAAAAAATTAATTTTTAGGTTATAAAGAGGAATTCCCCCTTTTAACAAAGCACTTAAATTAAAATATTGTAATTCAACAGTCAACAAACTTCTAACCCCAAAATCAGATCTATAGGATACTCGAAAGAAAAGCGATCTAAAGGTGAAAAAATTTATCTCCACGAAGGAGTTTCTTCGTCAAACCATAACGTCTAAACATTTCTCCACGTAAAAACTCTTTACATCATCAAACACAACATCACACCATTGCACCTTACCCCAAATCTCTCCTCATTGGCGTCTTTCCAGAGCAATCTCCGCATACCAAAGCCCCCTTTTTATTGTCAGAGCATGATATTTATGAAAGAACATAGCCAATTTCCCACCGTAACCCACCGTCGTCAAGCACGCTGTCTTACTCAACAATTCCTATACACCTTTCACCACTCTCCAGCACTTTTCCTTTGGATCATAAGCTCTCAACCCCTTCATGTAAGTATCGTAATAGTACAATACATCGTACACAACACATGCATCCCACCATTCCTCAGAATTCAGCATCTCATCCAATTCCCATTTATTTTCCTTTGTGTAACACCCGTTCCCGTCACTTTCAATAATAATCCGCCAAGCCAAGAAAACTTCGGATCTCCATGGCACTCTTTGGGGTCGGCCAAGCAGAGATCAAGACAATCTTTTCGGGATCTACAGCCACTCCTGCCTCTGAAACTACATGTCCCAAAAATTCGATCTCCCTTTTCCAGAAACTACATTTGCTCAACTTTGCATACAACTTTTGCTCTCTCAGCTTATTCAGCACCACTCGCAATGCCCGTCATGCTCTTTCTTACTCTTCGAGTATAATGTCCTCGATGAAAACAATCACGCACTTATCCAAGTACTCTTGAAACATGTTGTTCATCAACTCCAAAAAAGCTGCTGGCATGTTAGTCAAACCAAACGGCACTACTACAAACTCGTAGTGTCCATACCGTGTTCGAAAAGCCGGTTTCCAAACATCTTCTTCAGCAATCAAAATCTGATGGTACCTTAATGCTGAATTGATCTTCGAGACCCACGTTGCTCCTTGTAACTGGTCTAACAACTTTGTCAATCCGCGGTAGTGCATACTTGTTCTTAATGGTCACCTTGTCCAAACCGTGATAGTCAATACAGTCGGAAACGTCCATCCTTCCTTTTTTTTTTTACAAACAAAACTGGTGCACCCCACGGTGAACTACTCGGACGAATAAACTCTTTATCCGTTAACTCCTATAATTGCTTTTTCAACTCCGCCATCTCTGCAGGTGATAGACGGTAAAGCACTCTAGATACATGTGCTGTCCTTGTCTCCAAGTCTATAGTAAAAGCATTCCCTCTAGTCGGTGGTGGTCCTTTTAGTGATTCGATACGTCCGCATATCCTGACACCACTAGTATAGAATCCAATTCTTTATCTGTCCCCCTTTTTTTTTCCACGATGGAGATTATAGCCAACTAATCCTCATTTCCACACAGTTTTTGAGCACCACCAATTTTTAGTTGAAACGATCATCTTCTCGACTTTTCTTCAAGATTTCACTATTGCTGCCAGAGAGGCTCCAATTCTTCTTTAACTTCTTAACAACACGCTTCTTGAAGCTCAGCACTTTTTCAATCCAAACCTCACAACTAGGTGTGGATCCACTATTGAACAGAGTGTAGTGCTACCCTCTTCTAACGGGACACAACACAAACCCCTTTTTGCATAAAACAACTTAGCACTTAAATTCCAACAATTCAATCAACTTAAGACTTGCCACCAACAACACAACACTAGCGCGAGACCTTAGACACTAAAGATCATTTCCCATGAAAACTTTTCCTAAATCATTTAAACGTTTCCGGAAACATGTATATTAAAAAAAAATATAGTTTTGAAAACATTTTTTTTTACTAGGACCAGCCTTCCAGGTCAGAATCGGCTTGGCTAACCTAGGCTCTGATACCAAATTGTAACACCCGTTCCCGTCACTTTTATGTTCTAGGTCCCCCCTCCCTTTCTCCTCTTTAGTGTGTGCAGGTGTGTTTTTTGTAAAGAAAGTTAGGGCACGAGATCTAGAATATGAAAGTAGCGGGAACGAGTGTTACACTTTGGCTTATAAACAAACCTATTGAAATGATCTCTTGAGTAAACCCTGTCCTCCCTCACCACAGAATCAATCCACGTGACGCGTAGCCTAACGTCTGGCTTTTCTTTCATAGGATCCCACTTTTGAGTTCCTGTATCAAACACCATGACTCCCTCCGAATTAAATAAGTAAATCTTACCGAAGATATGCTGCACCGTGTGAACATACTTATGAATGCTGGAGATGGGCTGCACCGTGTGAGATCTACAGTCGATGCTTATTGCACATGTTGTATCGACATAATAAAACTGTTCACCCACCACATATATCTTGGAACCCACGGCTATGTACGTTCTAAGGGGATGCATAGGAGGAAGCGACCCGATAATGACCAAGCGACTGCTGTTGACTTTCCGGAGTAGAATACACAAACGGGGCTCATTGTCGATAGAGAGGACGACATATAGACAGTGTTCGGTACAGCCTAACAAGGATCTTCTTGTGTATAGCTCAGGCGCCGGCAACGAGTGATTGGAAACTCTTGGAAACAAGAGAGATAGTCTGATAGTAGCAACTCGGTACACGTGCCACGATATCCACGATTAGGTCATATGGAAGCGACATCATCATCGGAGATTCGGAGTTAGGCCTCAAATCAAGAATCACCGAGTGAGAGACGATACCATAACTCATAATTATCTACACAACTCGGTTGTTGAATCAATATCGATCTTCCTCAACCTTTGGTTCGTGATCCAAAAGAAAAAGGAAATTTTGAATAATAATGAATAGGAAAATAGAAGAAAAATAAAGCTAATCTCTCCCAGTCTCAATAAATAGAAGAAAAAAGAAAACATGATTAGATTGAATAATGAATAGGATAATCATATACCTTTAGCCCAAACAAAACGAGATCCTTTCTTTCTTTTCTTTTTTTTCTTTTTTTCTTTTTGCGTTCTTTTTTTATTTCATCTGTTAATAGAGATATAGGATGAACACAGACTATAACATCTTCCAATTCAATTACATTTCGAGTCTTCAATGAATGCAAATGCACTATCAAAACCAATCTTGTATCATATACGTCCATATCTCAAACCTTATACTAAACTTCGATGAATCCATAAATACTAAAGTAATAAACTATTAAGCGAAAGTTAATAGAAAATTATCCTCTTTTCTTCTTCAAGTAACTTGCTAGAGGGAAAGTCAATGGATCTTTGAATCTTCAAGTAACTTGTAACCATTTATTCTCAGTCGAGTTGCTAGAGGGAAAGTCAATGGATCTTTGTCATTATGAATATCGTGAGCTTTATGAAAGAACAGAGCCAAATTCCTACCGTATCGTGATGCACTAAAAAATATAAGCACTCAAATTAACATATTTTAGTTCAAATCTATAGGAGGGTATTGGAAAGAAAACCGGTTAAAGGTGAAAAGGAGTTCAACTTATCGTATGAGAAGTTTCTTCATCAAACACTAACAGCTAAACACTTGTCCACGATACAAAGTCTCCCATCACCATCATTAAACATAACATCACACCGTTCCACCTTACCCCAAATCTCTCCTCCTTGACCTCTTTCCAAAGCAATCTCCGCAAACCAAACATCGTTTGTTACCTTCGGCTTCGGAGCATGATCTTTATGAAAGAAGAGAGCCAATTTCCCACTGAAACTCACCGTCTCCGACCCCCATGAATCGGCCGTCTTACTCAACAATTCTTCTACACCTCTCACCTCTCTCCAGCACCTCTGCTTTGGATCATACGCTCTCAACTCGTTCAAGATTGTATCGTAATAATACAATACATCGTCGACGACACACGCACCCCACCAGTTTCTAGAATTCAACATCTCATCCAATTCCCATTTATTTTCCTTTGGCTCATACACAAAGCTATTAACATCACCTCTCATGTAAATCCTATCCTTTATCACCACAGAATTATTTATCCAAATGTGGCCTAGCTCCACGTCTGGCTTTTTCATCGCAGGATCCCACTTTTGAGTTTCTGTATCAAACACCATGACTCCCTCTGAATTGATTACATAAATCTTACCGTCGATGATTTCGGCGACACTATCATATTCGATGCGCTTAGGAGTGCCGGAGATTGGCTGCACCGTGTGAGATCTACAGTCGATGCATGATGTACGATAATCGTCAAGGATCTACCCACCACATATATCTTGGAACCCACAGCTACGTACGCTACCTCGGGATCCATGAGAGGAAGCGACCGGATAATAACCAGGCGACTGCTGTTGACTTTCCGGCGTAGAATACACAAACGGGGCTCAATGTCGATAGAGAGGACGACATAGAGACAGTGTTCGGTACAGCCTAACAAGGACCTTCTTGTGTATAGCTCAGGCGAGGTAATGAGTGATTGGAAACTCTTGGAAACGAGAGAGATAGTCGCATAGTAGCAACTCGGTACACGTGCCATGATATCCACGATTAGGTCATATGGAAGTGACATCATCACGAGAGACGCCCTAACTTTGGAAGACATCTACAGAGTTAGGCCTCAAAATCAAGAACCACCGAGCGAGAGAGGAATCTCCTAATCCTTCCTTTTAGTTCCTTTGTATCTACATACAGACCACAACTCGGTTTATATCAATATCGACCTTCCTCAGCTTTTGGTTCGTGATCCAACAGAAAAAGGAAATTTTGAATAATAATGAATATGAAAATAGAAGAAAAAGAAAGGTAATCTCTCCCGGTTTCTTAAATAGAATAAAAAGAAAACATGATTAGAGTGATTAATGAATAGGATAATCGTATACACTTTTAGCTCAAACAAAACTAAATCCTCTTTTTTTTTTTACTTTTTGTATTTTTTTTTTATATTTAACATGCGCGTCAACACACAAATAATTTTTTTAAAATTTAATTTTAGAATATATTGGTTTGGTAAATATAATTAAAAGAAAAGGAGGAAAATTTGGATAATAATGAATAGGAAAATAGAAGAAAAAAAAAGGTAATCTCTCTCAGCCACTTAAATAGAATAAAACGGAAAACATGATTAGATTGAAATTGAATAATGAATAGGATAATCGTATATTTTTGAAAAATACTAATAGATAGAAATAAATATTGTTGAAATTAAATCAGAGCGGCCGTCTTCTTCTCTTTTCTCCTATTGATTGCATAAAGTTGTTATTGTCTTTGTCTTTTTATTTTTGTTACTAATGGCATATTCCTTCACTCTCTCCAAATTTTTGACGATAACTATAATGCTAATAATAATATTGTAAATGTTAATAATGACTTTGAATTTTTCTATAATATGATAATTGTATTTTTCTTACACAACATAATTAACACAATAAGTTTATATAAATAATTAGTTAATAAATGTTTCACATTGATAAATCAGTTATTAATACAATCTATAACAACCTAATTAACATGATAATATCTTCTAGATAATACGATAATTTTATATGGATAACTGGATTAATATATTTTATATTGATATATGGGTTATCACATGTAATATATAACTAATTTAACATATATAGTTTTACTATCTATTAACTTGTTTGACATTTTAATTACATGATAACAGTATTAACTTGTGTAATTTTTCTAAATATATATTAAAAATTTGATGAACAGTGTTTCAGGTTGTAAACAATATTATTATCAAAAAGTAAACAGTGTTGTTAGAAATGTATGATGCCAACAAAATTTTCATACCAATAATATTTAAAGTAATTGTGTGAGATGGATAAAGATGTTTATGGATTAAATTTTATTTCTCTTTCTTATTCACCTAATTATGACCAGTATTATAGCCATCATCTAATGTTATGGTCAACTGATAGGTTTTAGCTAACTCACCCTATATTTTTTGCCTAAACAAAACAAAATCTTTTCTTTTTTCTTTTCTTTTTTCTTTTCTTTCTTCTTTTTTTGTTTCTTTTTTTCCAAGTTTGTTTGTTAAAACGTAGTCCTGACCATTTGGGTACTGAATCTGGTTCGGATCTAATCTTTTTGGGTACTAGTTATTTTAGTTATTTGGATATTTTTGATTTTCAGATTATATTCAGTTTGGTTCATATTTGAATCGGATTGGTTCTGGGTATTTAAATTGTCTGAAAGTTATTTAATTTTTAAAAAAAAAATTAATTTCAAAAATATTTTAATATATTTGATTAAGTTTTGTCAAAATTAATAATTTTAGTTATAATGTATATATATTTATGTATTTTGGGTATTTATAAGGTTTTTGGTTCGGTTCGGATTTGATATCGATTCTTCGGATATGAAAATGAAAATCCATCCAGATATTTACATCGATTTCGGTTTGATTTGGTACTTTTTAAATCAGTTTGGATCAGTTTGGTTCTTCAAATTCAATTTTTATTTCCAGGTCTATTAAAATGATTGACTGTGTACGTAATAAATGGTTAAAACGATTAATGCTATTATGGTAAAAAAAAATTAATATTATTATTTTGGTTAAACCAATCTTAATTTTGACTCCAAAAAAAAATCAATCTTAATCCACGAGATGGTCATTGCTTGTTTTTCAAGAATTAGAAGCAATCTTATTACCATATTGTGTGCATGGCGTTTTAATATAAAATTCCTCCATTTTCTTCTTCCAAGAGTTGGATTGCTTTCTGTTAAGAGTTTGGCTTTCTTTTTATGGGTTTCTTCTTTCTTCACCTTCAAGTAGGTCTTTAATTCTTGCAATTGTATACATCTATTTGTTCTTCTTTTTCATCTGTTAATAGGATGAACATAGACTATAACGTCTTCCAATTCATTTACATGTCAAGTCTTTAATGAATGCAAATGCACTATCAAAACCAATCTTGAGTCATTTACGTCCACATCTCAAACCTTGAACTAAACTTCGATGAGAACATATATACTAAAGTAATAAACTACTAAGCGAAAGTTAGATGAAATTAATAGAAACTTATCCTCTTTTCTTCTTCAAGTAAAAGAAGTATTGTTTGCAACAATGTTTCAGCTGAGGATAATAATAAAAATAGCAGAAAATAACGTTTTTCATTTCTTTATTGATTTTTATAGCCATGATAACGATAACACTCGGGAAGGATGAAAAAAAAATACATGCAAAAAACGAAGAGTTCGATGAGTTTTTGTGGGCACCAAAGTAAAAGTTTTTGCAGAATACAAAAGAATCACAACAAAGAGAAATCTTTACCCAAATGGGTAATAACCAAACACAAACCGGTTTGAATCACATCTCTCCACTCTCTCTTAGGCAGTAACTTGGCCGAACAACGACCTACGGATCTGTGAGAAAAGAAACGAATGCATCAAATAACCGAGAGTTAAAACTAGACAAATGACTGATGCATCGCAGAAAGCAAAATAAATTATGGAAGTTGTTTTCATACCACTGGAAGTTTCATACGGAATGCCACATCAAGACGTGCATCGAGAGTGTTCTCGCACACAATCTTCCCATCACGAGAAGCTAACACAACACCTCCAGAGCTAACAACAAGTTTCAAAATACATATAAATATAACTCATATCAAATCAAATCTGAAATAATAATGTCACGTTCTGTGTAATGTAAAGTAATGATGAGATGAGAAACATGAATATTTACCAGTGGAGACCATGTGGATCATGAGACTTAGGAGGACCGGGAAGGAATATTGTTGTGTCCACGGAAACCTCTGGGGCATGAACCTTTGCTTTACCAGCATACTCCTCCTTTGCGTCATCAAGAATGGATTCAACTAAACCCAAGTCATCTTCACGACAACGCAACAACACAGAAGGTTCTTTCAACCGAAGCAAACACTGCAGCAACAGTTCAAGATTGAATCTTTAACAGATCATCAAAAGCTCACAAGCGTATCAGACCACAAAAGATTGAGTTGAGGCAGCAATAACATAATCAGATGCTTAAAAGAAGCCAGCAGGATTTACAATAGAGAATTCCAATATCAAATGTTATTTGAAAATGAAATCAGGGCGTGTACCAACCTGAACAATCAAATCCTTAAGAAGCTGTTTGTAAGCATACTCATCGCCACTCACGCTCAGAAGATCCTTCGCTGCTTGGTCTTTCATAGCATTGACAATATCATCCTGCGCCTGAAGAACTTTGATCCTTGAAGCATTTAGCTGCATCGAGTAATCACTGAAAAAAACCATGTATGGCATAATTTAGATTTGCCAAATTTTGTACCCAGTTCTGTTTATCAATCATGAAAAACTATGCAGATTACTTCAAATCTATATATCACACACTTCTACGTTTCGGATTCATAGATATGTGATCCAGAAAAGAAGGCGACTAACTTAAACTAAATCGAGATCAAAGAGTGAAATCAGAAACTAAACGATCGTTTAATGGATCAATTGAACTCACATCTTCTTGCGCACATCAGCTTGCTTCTCCTTCTTCTCATAGTCCTGCCTGATCTTCTTCTTCTCCGCCTCAACTAGCTGCAGTTTCTCGATGTTGAATTCCTACAGAGATTCAAATAGCCGGATCGACGACAATCAGAACAAAACCGATTACGGCCATTGTAATACCAAAATCGAATCGCGATTGAAACAGAGAGAAATCAGAAGATCCTCAGAAATGGAACAAAACAGTGAGAAACGTACTTCTTCAGCGGAGACCGAGATCTCGTTCGCCTTCTCCTCCGCTTCTTGGCGGATGAATCTCACCATCTGCTGGATCTGCCTCGAAACATCTCCGTCATTCATCTTTGCCGGAAATCTGCGATCGCCGTCGATCGAAGGTTGTAGAGATTTGCAGAAAATCGAGAATTCTGTGGCGCAGGAAGATTGGAGAGTGGAGAGAGAGAGACGTAGATCGGATTTTTGCAACGTGGGGATGAGTAATTTGAAGTTGTCCGTTTGTAGAGTACAAGAATGAAAACGGGATACAGTTTTCTAGAGAGCAATAGAAACGACATGGCGTCTCAATTAGAACGCGTTTTCTAGGCCACTTCATGGGCCAAGACCCATTTGCATATATCACTAACACGTTTCTTCAACGTAGACAAGTTGAAACAAATATCCATTGTATACTATATATACTTACATGTTTAGGATCGTGAAAACCCGAATATGAAAATATCAATAGATAATAATAATCAAACGATATGAAACAAAAAGTGTATAAAACAATGTGGTCTTTTTCTTACATTCAATAAATCGAACTGTAAATCGTAATTTTGAATTCTATGAGACAATCCCGATGAGAATGTTTCAAAACATCGAAAACATAATTTGAAATGAGAACTATAAACTTTATGATATACTCTCAAAACAAAACAAAATTAGATAAAAGATTGATGGAAACTTTTGGATTGTGAAGAACGAATAGTTGTCCGAGGAGGAACGGTTTCGATCTGTAAATTGAGGCATGAGTGGAGTGGGCTGCATGAGATCCAAACCGAAAAAAGTATGTATGCATGCATGTGTAGTTGGAGAAATTATCTTATTTTCCATACACCATAGTATTAACATACGACATTTCTTTATGGATATTTCCAAATTTTTTAACTTATATTATTAATTTTCCTCTTTTGTCTAGTAGAGAAATTTCATCTAGAGTATCAATGTGCGTGGGATATTATATTTGACATATGTAGTCAAATTTCGATGTGTTTTATGTTTTCTAAATTACGCACTTAGAACCCTAATTTTTCATTCATTTTGAGATTTATTCATGTTCTAGTACTCAATGCAATGTTTTTAACGCACTGTAAACGACTTAATTGGAAATATCGCCAAAATTTTAGCAAAAGCTATTGCATCAAAATTGGTTCCAAACACACATTAAAGTTTACTTGGCCATGCGTGCCCCATCCATCAAAATGATCTATTTCTATTCATACTGTGACTGTGGTAATATTAACGTTTATCCAAACGTATTGTGCGTTGATGGGTCTTGATGACAAAAAGTAAGGTCTTATGCATTTATCTTTGTTTCATTCCTTTAGGTACGTAATTTTGCTTCCTTAGAAAACACATCCAATTCATCCTTGATCTGTTTATTAACTATAAGTTCCATCTTTCTCAAATCTTCACTTCTTCAGGATCAACGGACTTGCCTTCTCGAAGTTGGATTTTACTAAAATGACCATCCACATCAATATAGAAAATAGTAATTATAGATTGTATCGTGGGAAAAATTTATTCTCATTTTTTACTACTAACGTCAGTAATTATTTTCACTTCATTTTAAACAAATGATTTTTTGGTATATATTATAGAATATATAAGAAATATAATAACACCTACTTTAGTATGGTTATTTTCTGAATTATAGCCTTTGATATGGCTATATCAGCCAATTTCCTTTTTCAAGGGCTTTTTAGCCTAATAACCATATTAAAAAAACAATCCAAGAATATAGCTATCTTATTCAAAAAAATTTGATAAATAACCATGACCCTTAGAGAAATTACAATATAGTCCTTCACTTTTAAGCGGGAGTAGATACTGTGAAATTTGCTTGTGACGTCATTGCTGTATAGGTGCTTGGTGCTTGCACTGTCCATCTTTGCTGCAACGTCAAGGCCTTCTACAAACCAAAACGCCTAACTCATATGGTCTCTGTAGCGGCAAGAGCATACACTGTGAGGGACTTCAAACACTTGTTTGTAGAGATCCAACGCATGAACCTTGGATGTGCGGCTTATTTTGTTGACATAGGTAACACATACTATACTATATGTCAGACCTTATAGAATAGTACACATAACATAGTCCTCTTTTATTGTTTTTAGGATTTGCACATTGGACGCGTGCCCACTTCAAGGGAAATCGATTCAACATAATGGACTCCAACATTGCCGAACCCTGGAACGCAGTACTAAAAGAAGTAAGAGAGTTCCCGCTTATTTGTACGACTATGTGAAGCATATAGTATAGTATTGTACTCATTTGAAACACTATGACCTATTAACTTGTATAGTACCTACAAGCGTGGAATCTGCCCTGGAGGATGTACCATATGAGGATGATAATTTATTTATCAGTCGTGTATTCAAATCAAAGAGTGACTGCAAAATCAAGATCGTCAATTATAATGGCGGACTCTTTCTATATATGTATCAACTGATATGTTAAAATTTATTCTCATTTTTTACTACTAACGTCAGCAATTATTTTTACTTCATTTTAAACAAAGGAGTTTTTGGTATATATTGTAGAATATATAAGAAATATAATAACACCTACTTTAGTATGGTTATTTTCTGAATTATAGCCTTTGATATGGCTATATCAGCCAATTTCCCTTTTCAAAAAGGAATCGGTCGCTTTGATTTCAAGAGTATTAATATATATGCAGAGAGGTTTAAATAAATTGATTTGACTACATATATCACTAAAGTGTATTTATTTTTTGATTATTTATTCCAAAAAGACTATAGAGTTAAAGAGTGTTTGGGCTAAAATAGCAAATGTACTAAAACATTTAGTGTTCTATGAGGATGCAGGAGACTAGTCATGCAAATAATATCAATGATTTCCTACATTTTAGAAAAAAATAACAGAAGAGACAATTCAAGAAGGGAGAAATAACTTTTGTTTCTTGATGAATATCTTTTATAAGTATCTCAAATAACGGATTTATTATCTCAAGAACCAGCCATGATATGTTGATATGGACAAAGAATGGTAAAGCCAACATTCACACATACATAGATATTATAAACACACAAATACACAATCAAAATGCATGTAAAAAGTCCACATTTTTTTCCATTTTACTTTAACAAATAAAAACATTTTCTCTTTTTCGTTTTCCATACTGTTCATAACTAAGTAATTTCCTATTTTTAATATTCGTTTTTGTTAAACGCTTTATTTCTTTAACCAACATAAACTTGCACACACACATATTTTTTTAAAAAAGAATATAAGGAAGAAAAAAATTGCCGATGAAGTCTTCGAGTTCACTTTCACGTTGAAGGAGGTGATGTGGAACCATGTGGTCATCAAAATGCTGTACATGAAGGAGGTGATGTAGAACCATATGATGTATACTGATTGCAGTTTTGCTGTTGTAGAGAATATTATATTTCTTTTGGTGAGAGCTGTTTTGGCTTTCGCTGCGAAGATGGAGATATTTTTGTAGCATATGATATATCGACCGTTTTGTATCTGTCATAAAAAAACATAGATGAACGTCTAAAATCTTAAGAAGAAGTTCTCAGTGATAGAATAAGATTTTAGAGGATTTAACAAGTAAAGGAAAGAAAAAAACGGATACGAACTACACGAACCCATCTTCTATTGATGTCATAATTGTAAGCTTTTTTGATAAAGTTAAACTTTTAGAAATAAAAGAATATCAAAACACGAAATCTCAATTTCAATATAAAATATCGCCACAAGTACATTTTTCAAACATTGTTTAAGTTAAATTAGTATCCAGATTACCATTTTTCACAGTGTAATGCACGTGCAAACCAAAAGTGGCGTGTATTAGTTGATAAATAAAAAAGTAGACCAGCAATAAGGTCGTGGGAAAAGGTTGTAAAGGAACCCCAAATTAAGCATCCCCCTATTATATTTAATTATATAAAAATGGATAATTAATGAGAGCTGTCTTACTACAAGACAACAAGTGACAATCACCTGCTGGGTCACCATCCCACACGTCCACCCCACTTTAAAACTTATAAATCAAAAATGTATAATCATATTTGTAACTCATTCTCATAAGTCATAACTTTAATCAAATCTTCATTCTATTTATCATACATTCATATCATATGAGGACCACCTATTTTAAGGAGTAGTTCTAATTTGATAGTTTTGCTATATGGATTTAATGCCATAAATGTGTTTACTACGGAAAATATATACACTCTTCACGATCGCAGTATTGAACATCAAACTATATATTTCCTGTTTCATTTTTTGACATCAAGTACTATATATTCCCTTATTGTTCTAGACTATGGTAAATATTTATTAAACACATTTGTAGACGATCAAACTTTACATAGATTAATGGTAGCACTTCCATCTATAGAGCCAAGAAAAAAAGAAAAAAAAAGAAAGAAAGAGGTGTTAGCAAATTGTGAAATATACGTATCATCTAAATCAGATCTCTAGGATATGTCTTTTCCTGCCTTAATATTTGTTTTGTGTTTGCATAAAACATCTATCATATTTGATGGGTCATGTCGTCAAAAAATAATAGTAGCAAAAGTAGAACTCGTGAGTGTAGGAGCACCATATAGTTTTCGTTCATTGGTGTGGCCCTTGTCGGGTCGCCACATAGATATGATCAAAACTTTTTAAGTTTAAACTTAAATTAACTAGGGGTCTAATATACTAACCTCAAATCAATGATTCGTTAATCATCACTTTTCTTAATTAACAGGTTTTTTTTTGCAACAATCATTCCTCTAATCATACACACTCTCTAGTGATTATCATAAACTCCATTTCATTAGACACTATATTATGTGGGTTGCATGTTCCCGGAAAAAAAAAAGATACACATATGAAATATAAGTAATATGTATGCCATGATTAAATTATTTTTGGTACTTGTTCAGTTAAATATTCATACATAGATTCAAACATTTGAACCCCAAAAATATTCAAGATGGTGAAGTTGGCAACTCAAATTGGTTATAAACAGTGTTATAGAAATGCTATCCAAGTCTAAGTCTCGTCTAGAGATTACTGATTTATATTTTATAGAAATATCATTAAAAGTTGAATCTAACTTCTTTTTTGAAAAAAAAATTATACCAAATATCCAAAACTTTCTGGTTGTTGAAAAATTATCTTATGCATGATTAATTCATGAATTTGAATTAGAGATATATAATCGCAGACCAAAAGAAAAGTATATATAATTAACAAGTTCCCTGGCAAGGCCCATATTTTTAGCGTGGTTGAAGCACTTTTCAAGTACACCATTGGTAGATAATGAATGGCCTAATTGGTTCATTATTGGAGCTTTACTGTTTCGCTTTGTTCTACAAATAATTTTCGTCACTTTGTTCACTATATATATTGAAGAAATATATATATATATATATATACACGTACGGTAACAAGTGCTTATGTACAACCAAGCCATTGCGTTTGTATAGATTCGTTTTTTGTTTATTCGTTTGAATAGGATTATGAGTTTCATAGGCTTGGGTTGACTGGCTGATAGATGTGTACATTTATAATTCTTGACTTCGACCAATAGCTTTCCAAAACGATCGAATCATGCATGATGACTAAGTAAGTTAATGTAACTCCTAACCGCTAAATGATTAAAAACTTCTTATAACTTTGCTCTAGAATTAACGGTAAACTTGAGCATACACGATGGATAAGTTTCATGATTTTGAATTTATAAATAGTTGACTAGTGTTTTTTTCTTCTTTGCGATAAAAAGAAAACATATATGTGTATAGATCGCGTGTTGATGTTAATCATATACTCTGTTCCATAATATAAATTAGTTAAAGTAAAAGCATTAAAATTAACAAACATATTTTCTATTTTAAAAGTATTATTCAATAAATAAATTAAATATCATTATTTATATATATATAATCGTATAATATGATTAATTACACAATCAACACAACAATAACCCATACGTCTTTCCAGGTGATGACACCTAAGCTTTTTCAGGCTTTCTCAACATGACATCTCAGCAAAAAAAACAACCAATAAGAATATTTTATTAATACAGCTCATTTAAAAAAATATTTTCAATTCAGCTGGGTCAAAATAAACTATTCTTAGCCCATTTTATTATTTTGATCACACAAACACATTAGCCCAAATTTGATATTCTGATGAAACTTTGGCAATTTCGACATTCCCACGAAACTTTGACAATTTCAACATCTGAGAATTATTATTGAGCGGGACCAATATCCAAATCGAATCCAGATGGAGAGATTCCTCGGGTTCACGTTTTCTTCTGTCATTGATTCTCCTCCTCATCTTTTGTTCGTGGACGATTCCTCAGGTTTACTCTTTGACCCATCTCTAGGTTTTGCTGTACACCTTTTTAATATCGGATTCTTATTTCAAAAAAAACTGTTTCTTTTTTTTATTCCTTGAGACGGTATAATGTCTCTTGATTTCGCTTCTTTCCGTTTGGAGCATAACAAAGCTGATGACTATTCGGGTCTATGTATGATCAGTACAGGTGCTATCGAAGAGGTACCTATCTTGTTGGCTAAACCTCAGACTTATATGAACTTCAGCGGCAAATCGGTTTGTATTGTTTTCTTATCATAACATTGCAAAGATACTGTATATTCACGATCAAACATTCTCATATTTTGAAATTGTTCTGTTTTCGTTTAAAGGTTGGACCTTTAGCTGCACACTATCAAGTACCATTGGGCCACATTTTACTGGTAAAGTTATTGAGTTTAACATTTCTCGAAATCAGAACAATGTTTTTAAATGAACCCTTTTTTTGTTGAATCTTGATGTGTGTTTTTGCCTCCTAGATCTACGATGAGATAGCTTTACCAAGTGGGGTTTTGAGACTTCAACCAAAAGGAGGTCGAGGCTATCACAACGGGTATGTATGTGCCTTTTGAACATCTAACTGTGTTCTCTGGTCTAGAAAGTAATGTTACCTTTGTAATTGTTGCAGAGTAAAGAGTGTAATGGGGCATTTGGATGGTCGTAGAAACTTTCCAAGGCTAAGCATAGGTACGATTTTTGGTTTTGGATTGGTTCGGTTTAAACTCGAGACTATCCTTTGTTTCTCTCTCAAGCTTTTTGTTTTGTTGGTTTTTCTTTAATCAGGCATTGGTAATCCACTTGGAAACATGGAGATGAAAGCTTTTCTTCTTCAGAAGTTTAGTCCATCGGAATGGAAACAGATCGATGAAGGACTCGAGCAACAAAGTGAAGCAGTGAGGACTCTTGTACTCAATGGATTCAATCAAGGAATCTCAAGATTTAATCTTGTGCAGAAGTATAAATTCCACAAAGTATAAATGAAAAATAACAGACGAGGAATTTTTGATTTCATTTGCAGAAAGCAACTAAAAAAGGTGTAGAGTTTCAGATTGATTTAGCATTTTAATTTATTTGTGGAAAATGAGTATAAAATATATAGAAACATATGCAATGTGTATGCAGTATGCTTATGTTAAGCTCACAAAAAAAAAACTTTATAAGAGGAGAGAGGAAACCAAAATGAAAATCAAAGGGATAAATGCACGAAACAATCAGCTCGCATACAACCAGACAAAAATAGTCTTTCAATCAAGAACAAATTTTAAAGATGTTGGCAACAACAACAAAAATATGTAAGCTTTACAAGGTGTTATTGGTTCTTGTATTTTAATGGATTTGAGAATCCAAACCAAATTCAGTGTTATTGGTTCTTGTATTTTAAAATCTATATTGAAATACAGTGTTATTGGTTCTATAATTTTAAAATCTATAATAAAATACAGTGTTATTGGTTCTATCATTTTAAAATCTAAATATTGTAAAGATTTGAGTTTTAATTGAATTTGAATGGATTTGAAAGGATTTTTATGACTAAAATACAAAGACTCAAATACAAGGTCTAACATTGGTATTTGAGTGGATTTGATTTTTTTTTCATTTTGTTGATTTTGAAATCAATATATTTATTAAATTCAAAGAAGATTTCTGAATCCACCAAAATACAAGAACCAATAATCCCTACTTAGTTATATTGCAATAATAAAACATATAATATGTCAATTTTTAATTTTATATTTTAATTTCTGTAACTTAATTTATAATTAAAAAAATACTCTACATCGTAGCAATATTTTGAAATTTTACACAAATTTATACGTGTTCGATGTATACATCCACTCATCTACTTATTTTAATTTTTAAACTTAAACCCATTAAAAACCCAAATACTTTTTTTGTTAATCTTTGTTTTATTTTTTTCCAAATTCAAGCCCAAATAATAAATAACAGCAAATAAAAAATAATCTTTGTTTTAATTTTTGCCAAACCCAATCCCAAATAATAAATAACAACAAATTAAAAAAATTGAAATTTTGTTTTATTTTTTGGCAAATCCAAACCCAAATAATAATTAACATCAAATAAATAAATAAAATCTAGCTATATGTTTCTTTGACAGAGACGTATATGATTGAAGAAAATGTAGGCTTATAATCAACTATGTTTCCATAATATCAACGCAAAAAGCGTTATGTTATAAGAAGCTCACACATCAGCAAAAATTTGAACCAATAAAAATATAACAATAATACATATCATCAACACACTAACAAAATCAGTTTACTATTTTGCTGACCTATTTAAAAAGCCTAAAGTTTACAAAAAAAATGGAAGTCGAAAGCAAATGAAGAGAAGCTCAGACCACCACAGCTTGGAGATTCGCATTTCCTGTGGTTACCAAGAACAAATTTTCTTAGGTTTGGCGGGAATATAGAATTTTATAGTTTTGGTAGGAAAATGTGATTTTCAGTTTTGGTAGGAAAACATAAATTATCAGTTATGGCGGAAAAAGCGAATTCTCGGGTTTGACGGAAAAATGTGAATTTTTTGCTTTTGGTGAGAAAGAAAAAATTGATTTTGACGCGAAAATAAAATATCTTACTTTTGACGCATTTGAGGAAAATTCAACTTTTCAATTTTTATGAAAAATACGATTTCTCGGTTTTGATAGGAAATGCAAATTTTTGACTTTTTATGGATAATGTGATTTTTTAATTTTCACGGGAAAATATGATTTCTTAGTTTTTGAGGAAATTTGAAATTTGATGATTTTGGTGGAAAATGCAATTTCTCGGTTTGTTGGGAAAATAAAATTTCTTGATTTTAGCAAGAATACGTAATTTCTGGGCTTTGGTGAGAAATGCAAATTTTCAGTTTTTGACATATAATATGATTTTTTGGTTTTCATGGAAAATATGATTTTCTTAGTTTTCGCAGGAAATGCAATTTCTCAAGAGATAATATAATTTTTAGTTTTCGCGGGAAATTGTAGTTTATCGGGTTTGGTAGGAAGACTTGATTCTTGGTTTGATGGGAAAATGATTTTTTTTTTTGGCAAGAATAGACGATTTCTCGGTTTCGCGGGAAAATAAAATTTTCAGTTTTGACGAGAAAATACGATTTTTTGGTTTTTGTATGAAGATGAATTTTTTTGGTTTTGGTGAAAAAACTTGATTTCTTTGTTTTGGCGGGAAAACGCATGTTCTCGCAGGAAAATATGATTTTTTGGCTTTTGCTGAAAAATGCAATTTCTCTGTTTTGGTGGGAAAATGAAATTTTAGGTTTGACGAGAAAGTAATTTTTTTGTTTTGGCGAGAATAGGCGATTTCTCAGTTTTGTGAGAAAATAATTTTTTTTTGTTTTGTCGGAAAATACAATTTCTCGGTGTTTGTAAGAAGATAAAAAAATTTTGTTTTGTCGGAAAATACAATGTATTGGTTTTTTTAAGAAGATAAAATTTCTATGTGCTAAATTTTTAAGTAGATTATAGATTTATAGATAGTTAGCTAAACAAATTTGATAGTAGATTATAATTTAAAAAAAATTAAGGATATATTATGTTTATTCGAATTTAAAATATATAAATACATAAATTAAGCTAATAAAAAATAAATTTAATACTCATCTATATTATAAAAATAATTTTATTATATTAAAAATATATGTCAAATCTAGAAAAATATCCCGCAGCGTAGCGCGACCTAATCCATTCTAGATTACAGATCCTTCTAGATATTTCTTTTCTAATTAAGATCCTAGTAACTTTCCTTATTTCTAGGAATTACCTATTTTATGCTTTAGGCTTTCTCTATATAAAGAATCTTAGGAGATATGCTTTAGATACAACTTTTTACTATTATTATTAATCAAAGTCTTCGAGTTTTCGAGCTTTACCTTTTCTGGTGGATTCCAAAGCCTTTTCTTCAAGTTTGTCGCTTGCGAACTTGAATCTTCAATTCTAAGACCAACGCTTGTTGTCTTAGTGCATCCGACTGCATCAAGTGGTATCAGAGCAGGCAATCTCCTTCTCTTTTCGAAGCTTTAACAGCTATGGGTGATAAACCAGTAACCAGGGCCGACATGGAGGGTTTCGCAGCAGGTCTGAACGAATCAACCATGAACCTGGCAAATCTGGTGGCAGCGTTAACTAATCAGATTGCAGCATTGACCAATCAGATTGCTAACACGGGACAAGGAGGAGGAGTAAGAATGGGACCAAACCCTAATCAACAAGGCGGAAACATCCCGGTTGCTGAAGAACCGGCTCGGAACCGGCAAGGTGACGACAATCATCGACCCGGTGGAAACAATAGACAACAAGGCAGGCACAATCGTGTTGTTATTAACAATTCCAGCTCGGAGGAGGAGTCGGAAGGAGAAGTGGAAGAACAAGATAAACAAAACAATCAGGATTACCGAGTGAAAGCTGATATTCCATTGTTCTATGGGACTATAGGAGTAGAGGAATTTCTCGATTGGCAAATTGATGTTGATCGGTTCTTCGATGTTATGGAAGTCCCGGAGAGAAAACAGGTTAAGATGGTGGCAATCAGGTTAAAGAAGACTGCTGCTGTTTGGTGGGATAAATTGGCTATCCAAAGGCAAAGGCAAAGAAAGGGTCCCGTTAGAACATGGCGACGAATGAAGCAGCTAATGACTGAGCGGTTCTTACCAGAAGACTACGAGCAGATTCTCTACAAGATGTATATTGATTGTGTACAGGGAAGCAGGACCGTGACTGATTACACAGCTGAGTTCTTACGTTTCTCTGAACGTAGTGACTTAAACAAAACAGAGAATCAGAAGGTAGCCAGATACATCAGTGGTTTAAAGGGCTCTCTTCAAGGAAAAATAGGGTTACAGACTGTGTGGACGGTTCAAGAAGCCTCCAGTCTCGCCTTGAAAGCGGAATTGATGGAGAAGTCAACTCGGGGGTTCACAAATTTCAGGAGACCCTCGGTTCAGAACAACTTCCAACCAGCCGGAGAGAAAGACAAAAACGTGGTTAACAGAGATTCCAACTCTAGCAACAAAGGAGCCAGTAGTTCCAATAGTGGCGTTCAAAAGGACAAAGCACCAGCTTCGAAACAAAACACTTCTTATGCTAGGCCAACCTTCGACAAGTGTTTCCGTTGTCAAGGAACAGGTCACAAGTCGAATGTCTGTCCCAGTAGAAAGACGGTTGCATTCCTAGAAGAAGAGGGAGACGACTTCATGGAGAATGAGGAGTATGAGGGAGTTGAATTTGCGGAAGAGGAATCTGAGGACAGAATCAGCATCGTTTTACAGCGACTCTTGCTATCATCCAAGGAAGAGGGACAACGCAAGAATCTGTTTAGAACGCATTGTTCTATTCAGAACAAGGTGTGCAATGTGATTGTTGACAATGGGAGCTCCGAGAATTTAATTTCTCAAAAGCTGGTGGAATATTTGAAACTACCTACGACTCGTCATGAAAAACCTTACGGTCTCGGATGGGTGAAGAAAGGGTCTAAGGTAGGGGTTAGTGAAACTTGCAAAATTCCTTTATCAATTGGGAAGCACTACAAAAAGGAGATACTCTGTGATGTTCTGGACATGGATGTTTGTCATATTCTCCTTGGGCGGCCATGGCAGTATGATAACGACATAACATACCGAGGACGTGACAGCGTGATCATGTTTACGTGGGGAACTCATAAGATTGCAATGGCTCCTGTTAAAGATTTTGGTAGCATTACAAAGGAAAAGAAGTCCAGCTTCCTAGTCGTGACGCATGATGACAAAGAACTTGACAAGGCTGTTCAGGAATCAAAGTGTTTTTATCCGATTATGGTCAAAGGGTTGATGAGTGCCGTGACGGAGGAGACGACAGCTCTAAGTGAGGTTTTAGAAATTTTAGAAGACTTCAAGGAGTTGGTTGCGGAGGAACTACCTAACGACCTACCTCCTATGCGTGATATTCAACATCACATAGACTTGATTCCAGGTTCTAGTCTAC